CTCCGCCTTCTTTTCCTCAACTGCACTGACGTTCATAATCTCGGCAAACCCAATGTTCTTCCTCAGCAACTTGGTGAGTTTGACGGTGTCGATTTCGTCTCCGATCACTTCTAACTCATTATTTTCCTTCCCTTTAAGTGATGCAGACTCCACCCCTGGAAAAAAATTGCATATATGATCTGTATCACACAATAAGGGCTAATTCGAGCAGTTTGAGCTCAGCTGTGGTTGGATTCAGTTTTTGGCTTATTCAAACTACACAATCATTGAATCTGGTCAATTTTTTTTGCTCATTTTAAAACTGATAGAATTATATCTATGGTTCAGCTCGAATAGTTTTGTGTGTATAACCGCTTGTACTTTTATTGTGCAATATTAATTTTTTTTTTAAACGAGAGCAACACAAGGACTTCCTAAGGGTCACTGCTAAAGTTCGGTCGAGATGCTTGCAAGTTTCTGTTAATCTAAGATTGAGTAATGTTCCGTTTGATAGAAGTGATGGAAAGTACGAGGGATGAAAAATAAGAGAGATACATTTTCAATCTTTCAAGGAAGGAAAGTAGAAATGATACATTTTTTTTTTTTGTGTCTTTGGTTGGATGAATAAAAAATAAAAATTCTTATTTTTTATTTTTTATTTTAAATTTTTTTTAAAAAAAGTATAAATACAATATTTATCATTATATATTATATATGAAATTAATATAATATATATTAAAGGATATATAGACAAATAAGATACATTTCAATACAAATAATTAAATTTTCATTCACTTTTTTTCCAATTTTAGAGGAATTGATTTTGGTGAGTTAGAAAGAAAGTTCATTCATCCACTTTTCAATCTATCATGTTTTCTTTACTTTTCAAATAGAATGTTTTATCTATCCCTCCAATTTTTCATCTTTTTATTTTTCTATCATATCAAACAGAGAATAAGAATCTAAACTTGACATTTGATTTCGATTGGGGCTCAAGCTTGACCAATAACAAACCGAGCTTAAACATACCTACACATAATATCCTTCAAATAAAAAGTGTTAACTCACACTCCAATGAAATTTAGTGCAATTTGGATCCTAAATGCTTGATTCTTGGACTTTAAAAACTGCAAAGTGAACCAAACATAAAACTTGACAAAAAAAAAAAAACAAGATAAAACATTTAAAAATTTTTTTTAAAAAAGAAAGAAACTAAAATAAAAGGCAGAAAAGTTCTTGTTACCAGAGAGACCAACTGCAATTGTCAAGGCCCTTGATTTATTTTTGGTGGCAATTGAATGGGAATCATTGTGTTTTCGTAGTAACCGAGAGATTACTAAGAGGCCCAAGACACGAGCTACAACCTTCATTGCCTTGTTTCGTGACTTCTCGCTGTTCATAGGTACCTTAATGACCACCTTTTGCTGAACAAAATCAAATTTGAATCAGCATGATATCACTTGCTAGAATACTACAAGTAATTTGATTTTTTTTGTAAATAGATATTTTAAAGAAAAAATAATTTCAAAAAAAGAAAAAATAGTGCGTCTTAGGATTATTATCCCTCCAAAAAACAAGAATTAAACTCTTAAATTATAGCTAGCAATGATATATACATATATACACACACACACTAATGTAGTATATTTTGGAAGAGTGATATATATGTATTTCACTATACAACTAGTGCATCTACACATATGTCTACATACTACAAATAAGCGATTAATCTCGAAAAAAAAAAAAGAACAAAGCTACAAAAGAAACATTACCTACTATAATAAATTAAAAATAAATATTTTTCTGAAAAATAATGTAGTAAATAATAACTAATTATACCTTCATAGTCTTGGTTTGGTGGATATGACAATAGTGAGAAGTGAGAACCCACTAGCAGAGAAAAGATGGGGTGTCTGGGATCCGTTGGAGAGACAATTTAAAAGGTCTTTTATGAATGGAAATGCATGAGAGTCGTGTCCTACTATTTATATTAAATCTTTGGGCAAATAGCAGTTTGCACTCCGAAAGTTTAAAAAAATTAATTTTCACCCTTAAAGCTCAATTATTTTAAATTACACTCAATAAAATTAATTAGTATCAATGTGACCCCAGCCATAATGTTCGTTGCAATTTTCATCAAATTTTCAGCCATGTTAGATGCATGTGATGATTTTTGTTGAATTATAACGCTTCTCCTTTTCACTTGTGTCTCGCGTGCCTGACAATTCAATAAAAATCCTCATGGACGTTTTGACTGAGATTGCGATTTTTGTCAAATTGACAAATATGTGAAATACACGTGATGACTTTTGTTAGATTATAGCTCTTTCCCTTTTCACATACATTTCACGTGGTTGTCAATTTGATGAAAATCGCAATGAACATTATGATTGGGGTCACATTGCTACCAATTAGTTTAATTGATGGTGTAATCTGAAACAATTGATTTTTGAGGGTGCAAATTTTTTAAGTTTTTGTGGTGCCAACTGCCATTTGCCCTAAATCTTTTGGGGGTGATTATCAATGTAAAATTTAAGGGTGCCACATTCATTTTAGACATTTCCAGCCAACCTCTTGGAAGAAGGTTGTGCTGTAACTCTGTCAGAAAATGTGATTTCGGTCATCTTAGGTTGTTAGTATGGGCAGGTAACCGTAACATCACAAAGAACCAAACGAAGACGACTAGCCTTTGGCTTTTTCAAGTCACATTTTTATAAATATGTGAGTGCGACATAAATCCTAGATATGTCGAATCACCAATGAATTACACATGTTGGGTAAATCGGAGTTTTTTTTTATGAGAATCGAACTTGAGATATCAAACCAGTAACATTTGAAGAGATTAATTATGTATTTATCTTCATCCATTCTACCGTAGCGAGTTAAATAACAATTGGATTTTTCAATGCTTACACCTATGGCCATAGACGCAATTTATGATGTCAAAAGAGACTAATTGTTAAAATCTCGACCATTTTTTGTACTTTTTCCCTTCAGCAATTTGTTTTGTTCAACTAGGAAAAGAGAGAAAAATTCTTCCATGCCACCTACAAATCGTCCGATATTTTAGTAAAAAAGGGCAAGAAAAAACTATCGCATGGTGATCGAAATATTTCAGAATTATTATCTCGAGATTCTAAGTCCAAACTTGAGAAACGAAATTTTGTTTTCCAAGTAATTGCATTCACCTAAAGTTTACATTACTACGAGTAAAAACAGCATATGATCAAAACGATCACCAATTGTAAGTTAAAAGGGGGAGAGGAGGGTGGGTTCAGAGAACAAATAGAAACAAATAGCACTTTTTTATTAAAAAAATTATTATTATTACAACTACGAGACAGGAGATTCGAGCGGGAGACAAGAGATTCGAGCGGATGACTTTGTTCTTTCAAGGTGGGGTTAACGATCTCAAATAGACCCAAAGGTTTAGTAACACTTACCTTTCATCTGGTTGCGGAATCTTTAAGACTCATAATCATGAGGCAGACGCAACAACAAAAGCAATAGACTTTTCAAAAACATTTATATGGTAATTGTTTGGCTAGCCATGGAGTTCTTCAAATTTAATTTTTTACTTGTCATTTGAGAAGGACATAACACGGTTTGGAAACTACCTATGGTGACTTATCTGTGGAAGTTTGGAATGGAAAGATCGTGATATTTGAGTTTAGACATTTGCGTATATATTTTAGGCACTTTTTTTACGAGTGAATGTTTAAAAACGAGTTTTACCATTAATCACTCCTAAACTCTGATCGCAAATTCGCACTCTGGGAACGAATTTTTTGTGAATTCGCACTGTCATTTTACAAAATTCGCGAATTCGACTAATTCGCTCTGTTATTTACTTATATATTTATTTATTATTACTCAAATTTTTTATTTGGAAAGTACTGACTCAGGCCTAAAGATAGATATTAAACTAGAATAATATTTTGTAAACTATAATTGTCATTTTACGACTTTATAATCCACCTATATTTAAAAATTAAATAATTTGTCTTATAGTTGTACATGAAATTTTAGTTTTTTATATTTTATTTATATTTAACTTTTATGAGTGATTCATGTGCTTATATGCATATAATATGACGTTCTCAATTTTTTTTTAAATGTAGACGCTTTTGTACTTCTGCTCCCCTGCCCGCTTTTGCACTATGCGATCTAAGTTCTATCTATTGATAAATTTGCAAGTAGTACGAGATCGTACTCAATATGGATGCTACTCTTTATAGTTGAGTCACGGAATGAGCGATGTATAAGTTGAATTTTTATTTTTTTATTTTTGGACAAATCTATGAGTTGAATTAAACATTTTGATTTTCACATATAATGTTCATAGCTAGTAAAAATAAATAAATAAAAATCCAATCTTATGGGGATAACTCAATTAAACTCTATTTTAGAAACTAAAATCTCGATTTCAATTCTTTTCTAATTCGAATCATCGATCAAAACTATCAATCCATAGTGTTAATGATCAAGTCGTTAATCACTAAAATCCAAATTAACATTAGTCTTTCTTCAATGGAAAATGTTGTTTTCCAACAAAAACGAAACAAATACACAATAAAAATCTCTGGTTCAATCAAAGAGCACGTGCATATCCGTGTCAACAAGGACTAGTCATCAGAGACCAGCCAGCCAGCAAGGCTTCTAGTACAAGGAATTTCCAAGTAAACGACGTATTACTTCTGTCCACTTCGAAGCTTTTACACAATAGTTCACATCAACATGTTGTATTGACACTCTGTACGTATGTGTGTGTATATATATATATATGAGGTAATTAATGAGATAGAATGGTTCTATCTTTGCAATTTCATCTCTTCATTTGAAAAAGATGTTCTCATATACTTAATATATGTCTATAATAATTGATTTTAAAAAGTCGTAAATGTGGCCTTTGTTCTTGTAATAGTGTTGCGCTGTTCGACTTTTTTAAATTGATTAATGTGACTTTTTCAAATCAATTAATGTGACACGATCACTATCTCCTATGTTAGAGGGATCCACTAATTTAATGATTCGCTTGAATTATTGACAGAAAATTGACGAGAAAAGTTGGTTAGAAGGATTTTTTTTTTTTTTCATTTTTGGTAAGTTCTTGTGAATGTTTAAGGTCACCACTAGTAATACATATTAGAAGCAAGAAGTGGGAAAGGCAAGAAAAAATGCCAATAGGAAACAAAGTTCAAGTTAATCAATTAAGTTAGAAGCAAATATGCAAAATGCCTATAATAAAATTGATGGATTTAGATCCTCCGAGTTTCTAATTTTATCAATTTCAGTCGAAGTTCAATCATACACTATTAAATTTATTTAGACAATTGGGTATTAGTAGAACTCGTAGAAACTCACTTATAATCACTATGAATTTAAAATGGATTATTTAACTTCATCCAAATTTGAAGGGTAAGAATCATAATAGTTAGTCGTTGAATTTTACCACCAGTTTTAATTTAGTCTTCGAACTTTCAATTATCCCGATTTAATCTCTCAACTATTATTTTCATTTTAATTAAGTTCTTTCATCAATTTTCATCATTAGATCAACTGAGTCTAGTCCAATGTGATCCATTTTCAGTGTTAATCTAATGGTAAAAATGGACAGAATGATTTAATTGACACAAAATTGATAGTTGAAGGATTAAATATAGACAATTGAAAGTTCAGAGACCAAGTTAAAACTAAAGACAAAGTTCAGGAACCAGTTATGATTTTTACCCAAATTTGAAATTAAGACAATCTAGGGCCCGAAAAAAAAAACCCCCTACTAAAATGCTGCTCAAGGACAATATATTCTTGAGAAAATAAAGATAATTAGCAAACAGAGGATTCCCATGCAAAGTAGGAAAGTCTTCAAGGTATAAAATTCTAAAAATGTTGCATTGACCATCAAAATTTTCGATAAATTATGTTGCAACATGTTCCAAAGTTTACTCTTCAGTTATAATCATTCATAAAATATTGTTGTCCAATACACCTTCGGAATACAAATTCACCTAAAACGTAAATAAAAGACTTTTTTATTTATTCATAGTTTATTAAAATCCATTCATTTTTTTCCCTTTCTGTGCGCGATAATTTTTGTACAATAAATAAAAGGGACATATCTCCCATTTGATGAAAGCAGGGTTTATATGAAAGTCGAGGATCCCAAAGCAAAAGGGAGTGAAAAGGGTCCTAAGGAGTGGTAATGAATTGTCATTCCAACGAATCTTGAAGGAATTTGCCACTCAAAACAAAGAGTTAAAAGGGCGCTGGAGTATTTTTCAGCGTATTCTCTCCGACGTTCAAGTCAGCATGTGAGAGGGGAAGGAGAAAATGCACTGTCTATCTTCTGGAATGAAGTTGCTTACTCTTGTCTTCAGTTTCTGAGAGCTATT